GCTTGACAAGTGGCAACTTGTGGGCCAGGAAAGTGCAAGACTTTAGTCTTCACTTTATCGGTGCACTTTTACTCTGGGTTTAACTTCTTTTCTATAATTACAGTGCTCTAGCCTCTGTAATTATTTTCTATCAAATCTATAAATTATTCTCCTCATTTTTATTTTCCCGAATTGCCCTCTTTGTGTCAAATTTAATTTCCTAATAATTAAATAAAAGGGAAAACTAATTTCCTTCTCTTTATTGATTTTTCCACTTTTCAAAGGAATTAGAAAAAATCTTGGATACTTGAGGGTCTTCTTTTAATTCTATAACCTTTTATAATTCCTTGAGATATCATAGGAATTTTCTTGGGATTTTATTCTCCTTCCAAATATTTATTTGGAATTTTCCAAATAAAGGACATTAAACTAGCTTAAATCGCCCTTAAATTCCTTTGTAATTTCTCTAAGGGCAAATTGGTCATAAAACCAATTTTATAATCTCATATAATTCTCAAGGAACATTGTCCTTATTTTTTCTTAATTTTCTGAGACTTGGAAATATTTTTTCATAATTATTCTTGACCAATTTTCCTTAATTAGTCAAACTTTTCATAATTGGCTTGAAAAATTATAATAATTATTTTCCACCATAAATCTTCTATTTCTCTTTATCTTTTTTGACCTTTAAATATTTAGGAATGTCACACCTTCATTTTGAACCCCATTATACATCATTTGGAACCATTTGGAATCATTATATGATGCTCAAAGTAGGTAAAAACCAAAATGTTAAGATTTTGATTTCGGTTACTATTCATGTAACCCCTAAAAATCAGGTCAACTTTGAAAAATCATAACTAAATGTAGAAAAATCAAAACAGAGTGGTTCCAACTCTCACGTGAAGCTTATGGAATGCTCTACATAGGAAAAATATTCATAGATATCAATTTCTCACAGATCAATACCAGTTTCCACGCAATTATGTACTGTTCATTGGGTAAATTCTGAAATTTCCAGTATTTTTGCCCAACTTTGAAAGGGCATAACTCTTTCCACAAACTTCCAAATTTAGTGATCTACCACTTGATTTAAAGCTAAAAATATGATCTATAAGTCTGCCAAATTTCCAATCCAGATTCAAACATTTGCTATTTATTTTGTATGCACCAAGTTTGGTCCTTTCTAGTCAAAAGTTATCCCCTAATTATCCTTGTTTTGGCTCTTTCTTAACTTTTTACCCATTCTTAATCATGTGGGACTTAACACATGCTAGAATATACATTCTACTATACTTTCACATGTTTAAACATAAGCATACATGCTTGACTCCCATTAGGAGCTATTATCCAACAAACATTTTCAAAGTCAAAATATTACATAACAAGTTCCAACATTGACACTAGAGTACATTGATTGTTCATTAGACCTCCGGGACAACTTCCTTGCCTTTGCCCTTGCTTGAACTCCCTCCTAGGTGGCGTTAAACATAAGAGTGAGATTTCAAAGAAATCCCAGTAGCACGGAATCACAATTTATCATGCATTCCTGCAAACACTACGTGCAATGTTTTTGTGCATTTATCTTGCTTATGTGTTCATGCTTTTATGCCATGAAAAGTAAGCTATCATACACATATTCAATAGACATAATGCCAAGGCAACATACTTCAAACATTGCAATCAACATTTGCAATAAAGCTTAGTCACATCATGGCACACATTGCACACATACACATTAACACATCGATGTAAGCAAGAAAGCAATCAAATGTAATTCAATGCTACCTTTTGGTACTTGTTCCTTGATTTCCTTTAAGTTCAAGATGTTTTCTTGAGTATTTGGCAAGGTACCTATCAAACCAATACCAATTCCAATCATTCAACAATTATTCAAACACATTCCACATTACTTAAACATTAAACCCTTTATCTTTGGATTTTTGGCCTAATTGTTTTCCTTTTGATTCAAGAAACCCCCTTGGCCATTCCTACATGATTTTTCATGTAGAATTCAAATATCAAATCAAATTTTACAAAATCAAATCCCTTCCTTAAATTCTGATCAAAAAAGAAATGAATTCTTTTACAAGGAAAGATGTCAAAATTTCCAACTTGATTTCTAATGCTTCCAAATTCACTTCCTCCATATAACCCTACACAAAAATGCCCAAGGAGTTCAATGGAAGCATCAAAACCATCAAAATCCAACCTTAAGTCCCTGAATTCCAAAATGGACGAACACACCCCTTTTGGTTCCTAAATTTCCATATTTGATTTCAATGAATTAAAACATACTTCCATAGCATAATCCTACACAAAATCACATTTTAAATCCATTGGAACCATTCAAATTTAGTGAAACAATTCCTACCCTTGAGTTCTTGAGTTGGCCGAACTGAATACTCATAGCTCCTAGGGTAATTTCTTCCATAACCCATTCAAAACAGCACCATACATCAACAACACAAGCTCATACTCAATTTGCTATCCTTTCCTAGCACTTCCAGCATAACAGAAATGAACAGCACTTCCCCCTCACTTTAAGTCACGGTTTGGCCAAGGAAAAAGCATCAAATTAAAGCCTAAACATACCTCAAGGAGTCTTGGATTAAAGCTTGATGATAAACCTTGGATTGGAGGTGATTTGAGGAGTGTTTGGAAGCCAAGAAGAAAATTGTGCAGAACCTCCCCTCTATTGTCCCATTTCTGTCCGAATTTTGAATGCCTTGTGGGGGTATTTATAGAGCTCATTTGCTGCCCAAAAACCTGCCCTTAGGCAGCTATTTCTGCCCCAAATTAAGTGCTAAGGTCGGCCAAAATGAAGAACAAATCCTAGCCACACATTCTTTGACTCACTTTCCAAGAGAGTTGATCCAATGGTTGAAAATTTGCCCAGCACACAAGCCAGCTGTTCTGATCATAATGAGCACGAATTTGGGCCTTGTTGGATGCTAACTAAATGTTAAAAACTGGTTAGGAAGTAATGGAATTAGTTAGGGTAATTTAAAAATTCATTCGGTCACATAATACCCGATTTCTTGCCCTCTACTAGGAAAACTAGCTAAGGGCTTCAAAAATTCTATTTCTTTTCATGATAATTCCCTATTTATTCCAAGAGTGTGATCTGGAAGTTTTGGGAATTTTTCAAGATCTCTAGATATTTATTTCACATTTTCTCCAAAATCGGGTCTTTACCGATAGGAATTCGGAAGTAAATTCCCCATAAATTATTTTCTGCATTTTCAATGCTTGGAAACAATTTTATAAATTCATAAATATTCCTAGGGAGTGTATCCATATTTTTCCTTGAATTTTTGGAGTCCTTAGGTAATTAAAATAATTATATCACTTTAATTCCCCTTTATTTTTCCCTACTTTCCCAAAAGTAATTAATTTTTTTGGGAATTTTCACCAAAATTTATTTTGGGCCATTCTCACTCCCAAAACATCATAGGTGACTCAAAAACCTCTAATTCCACCTTTTCTATTTTTAGGGAATTTTTGAGAACTTTTCTCAAAATTACCATTTTGCCCCTAGGGATCCGATAAAGTCAGTTTCGTCCCATTTTGGGTTTCCATGCTTTACTCATACCTTATGCTTATCAATCATATCTCATTTCTCACATTCCCATTACTAGGGTTTCAAATTTTGGGATGTTACATTTCCCTCCCCCTTAAAATAAATTTCGTCCTCGAAATTTAAAATGTACCTTATTCAAAGAGTTCGGGATAATTATCTTTCATGTCGTCTTCCTTCTCCCAAGTTGCTTCTTCTTGTGCCAGATTCTCCCATATGACTTTAATCATTGGGATGGATTTCTGCCGCAGTTGCTTTACTTGACGATCAATGATCTTTACTGGTTTGATCTCCCAGGTTAGGTCATCTCGCAGTGCAATATCTTCATATTCCAAAACATGAGAGGGATTTGGCTGATACTTCTTTAGTTGGGATACATGGAAGACATCATGTATCTGACTAAGATTCGGGGGTAGGGCTACTTTATATGCCACCGATCCTACTTTCGACAGAATCTGGAAAGGTCCGATGTATTTTGGTGACAATTTCTTTGATTTCAAAGACCTTCCTACTCCCGTTGTCGGAGACACTTTCAAGAACACATGGTCTCCTATATCGAAGGTCAAAGGCTTTCGCCGAATGTCTGCATAACTTTTCTGTTTGCTTTGGGCCGTGAGCAGTTTCTGTCTAATCGTCCTTATCCTTTCAGTTGTTTGCTCGACTAGGTCTGGCCCATATAGCTGTCGCTCCCCTAATTCTGTCCAACACAGTGGGGATCTGCACTTGCGACTATACAAAGCTTCATACGGAGCCATCTGTATACTGGAGTGATAACTGTTATTGTAAGCAAATTCTGCTAACGGCAGATAGTCATCCCAGTTACCTTTGAAATCCAATACACAGGCTCTCAACATATCTTCCAGTGTCTGTATGGTTCGCTCTGTCTGACCGTCTGTCTGTGGGTGATATGCTGTACTGAAGTTTAGCTTGGTGCCCATTGCTTGCTGCAGTGCCTTCCAGAATCGGGATAGAAACCGAGGATCTCGATCAGATACAATCGACTCTGGCACTCCATGTAATCTCACAATTTCTCTTATATATAACTTGGCAAGTTTTTCTGGTTGGTAATCTTTCTTTATTGCCAGAAAATGGGCAGAGTTCATTAATCGGTCAATAATCACCCATATCGCGTCATATCCAGATGAGGTACGGGGTAACCCCATGATGAAATCCATGGAGATACTATCCCATTTCCATTCCGGAATATTTAGAGGATGTAAAAGCCCTGACGGTCTCTGATGCTCTGTTTTGACCTTCTGGCAAGTAAGGCATTTAGATACATACTCTGTTATATCCTTCTTCATGCCAGGCCACCAAAACATACGTCGGAGGTCCTGGTACATCTTCGTCATTCCCGGATGTATCGTATATTTGCTCTTATATGCCTCCTCCAATAGCTGTTGCCTGATGGACTCCGGAACATATACCCGTTCCTTATACTTCAATATTCCATCTGGTGACACCTCGATCGCTTCTCCTCAGCTTTTGTTAGCTTAATTCGAAGTGTATCAGCTATCGGATCGCTCTTCTGGGCCTCTTTGATTTGCTCTATCAGTTGGGCTTCTGCTCTTGTCACTTCTACTTTCTGGGTCATTAGTTTCATATGGAATAAAGGTTCCCAATCCCTCACATCTTCGATGAGTTTTCGTTCCTGAATCATTAAGAATGCTACTTGTACTACCTTTCGGCTTAAGGCGTCAGCTACCACATTAGCCTTGCCTGGATGGTATTTTATCTGGTAATCATAATCCTTGAGCAACTCCATCCATCGTCGTTGCCTCATGTTTAGTTCTTTTTGATCCTGCAGGTACTTGAGACTTTTATGATCACAATATAGTTCAAGGGTTGCCCCATATAGATAATGCCTCCAGATTTTTAAGGCATAAACTATTGCAGCTAATTCTAGGTCGTGAGTGGGATAATTCTCTTCATGAGACTTTAACTGTCGTGAGGCGTAGGCGACTACTCGTCCTTGCTGCATTAATACACACCCCAATCCTTGCTTGCTAGCATCGGTATATACAACATACGGTAGGGTTGGATCGGGAATTATCAGCACAGGGGTTGAGGTCAACCTTCGTTTCAGCTCTTGGAAGCTAGCCTCACATTTATCATCCCACACGAATTGCTGGTTCTTACGTGTAAGTTTAGTCAAGGGCTGTGCAATTCTTGAAAAATCCTTAATAAATCTTCTATAGTAACCTGCCAATCCCAGAAAGCTTCGTATTTCTGTTACTGTTTTTGGTTGCTCCCAGTTCAAAACTGCTTCCACCTTACTGGGATCTATTGCTACTCCAACTTGGGTAATCACATGACCCAAGAACTTTACTTCATTCAGCCAAAACTCACACTTGCTGAGTTTGGCATATAGCCGTTTCTCCTTCAGAATACTTAGAACGATCCGTAAATGCTGTTCGTGCTCTGCTAGTGACTTGGAATATACTAAGATATCATCAATGAAAACCACCACAAACTGATCTAGATATGGCCGAAAGATCCTGTTCATGTAATCCATGAAAATCGCAGGGGCATTTGTTAGTCCGAAGGGCATTACCAAGAACTCATAGTGCCCATACCGTGTTCGAAAAGCGGTCTTCGGAATGTCCTCTGCTTTAATCCTCAGTTGATGGTAACCTGATCTCAAGTCAATCTTGGAAAACACTGTGGCACCAGCTAATTGATCTAACAAATCGTCTATTCGAGGTAGTGGGTACTTGTTTTTAATCGTCACTTTTTGAGCTCTCGGTAATCAATGCACAACCTTAGGCTACCGTCCTTCTTACGGAAGAACAAGACGGGTGCTCCCCATGGTGACACACTGGGCCGAATAAAATTCTTTTCTAATAGCTCCTCTAACTGCTTCTTTAATTCTGCCATTTCATTTGGAGCCATAAGATAAGGGGCTTTGGAAATCGGTCCTGCTCCAGGTATTAGGTCAATTGCAAACTCTACCTCTCGCTCTGGAGGTAACCCGCTAATTTCAGTCAGAAAGACTTCTGGAAAATCACATACCACGGGTATCTTTGTTATGCCTTCTTCCACTTCCGCATGTACAGAGAAGAATACCACGTACCCCTGACAGCCATGTCTTAGGCAATCCCCGGCTTGGGTTCCCGTGATCAAGTTCAGTTTCACCTCGGTATGAGGGGTTAGCTCATGGGGAGGAAAAATCAAAGTCCTATTCTTACAGTCAAGGAGTATATTATGGGTAGACAGCCAATTCAGACCAAGTATCACGTCAATCTCATGAAAAGGCATACATATTAGGTCAAGTGTAGTGCAACAGTGGGCATACCGGACAATACAATTTAGGCAAACATCAGACGTATAAACTTTAGTGCCCGTAGGAGTAGCCACACATAGATCATATAGTAATGTGTTAACATCAAGGCCTATGCGCTTTGCGCAATCATATGCAATAAAGGAGTGGCTAGCACCCGAGTCAAACATAGCATGCACAAGGTAATTGTTAACTTGAATCGTACCTTGTATCATCTCAGGCGACTTATCAGCCTCTTCCCTTGTGAGGGCAAGGACCCTCCCTTGAGCTTGGGGCCTTGAGCCATCCACATTAAGGGGGCACTCCCTTATATAGTGTCCTGGCTTGCCACATCGGAAGCACACATTTTGACCCATCAAACATGGTTGATCTCCGTGGTTTTTACCACAGATGCTACATTCCTTGGTCTGGCGCGTAGTGCTGCTTCCTCCTTGCCTTACTCCTCCTCCTCGTTTAAACTTCTTAGAAAACATAGGCTTTTGCCTCTTTCTATTTCCTCCAGAAGAAGTCCTCTCTGGTCCGCCCCTTGTTGCTAGTCCTTCTGGTCTAGGAGCGACCCTGACTACTGCCTGGTGGTTCAGGCTACTTTCAGTAATCCGGCAAGCTTCCACTGCCTGATTAAACTTCTCAAGTTGCCGTGGGGCTACCTTCTCCCTCAGCTCCTGCCTTAGTCCCCTTATCATTTTCTCTGTTTTCCACCGCTCATCATTGCGGAGTTGGAGGTAGTTAGAGTAACGAGAGAGCCTCATGCACCTGTCTAGGTACTCATCAAAGGACTCTCGGGGACCTTGCTGAATCATCAGAAATTCCACCTCCTTTTCGTCTCTTATTGACAGTGGGAAGTATTTCAAATTAAAGTGTTCCTTGAACACTTCCCAGGTAATAGGGGTTGCATTCTCTTGGAGGATCATCTCGGTGTTCTTCTGTTGGAAATTGTGCCCTAGGGGCCAATCATTATGTTTTGAACATTATTAATTTATGAATTTATTAATTACGTTATCATATTATTTGCATGTTTACTGTGATGACTATCCTTGGATAACTCATGGTTTATCCTAAATGTCCCTGGTCGGTCATCTATGTGGGAGCAAAGATGAAATAAGACCAGTATGACTTTAAAGATATATAGAGATATAAATTAAAGTCATAGGCACATGTAAGAGTACAAGGTGTTGGACCAACCCGCTATGAGAGAGCTGCATGGGTTAAGTCATAAGCTTCTCTCATATACAAACCATGTCACTGTGCCCTTTGACCTGAGATCATCATGGATTCATACATGAGAAACGCTTAGCTTTGACCTAGTCAAAAGTCACTTTTGACCGAGTGATCATAAAGACTATGTTCAGGCTTAGTGGTTTTTCATGCGTAGGAATGTGAATGGTCAAGATGGAATTTGTCCCTCACATTCGTAGAGAGACATTACTGGGCCCCTCGATGAGTGAGTCTGAGAAATGTATGGCCATACTATAATGGAAAGGTAGTTCCATTTCTATACTCAGACTACTCAGGGATCGAGAAAGTAACGGTCATGAATAGGAGGATGACGTTTTCCATGCCTCATCCATGACTAAAATGTCGTGTGACAAAAGGGACGCGATATGGTTGTATGAAAGGTTGCATCGTTCAATGATCCTCATATGATTTGGGTAGTCGTGATGTCTTGCTAGAGACCGCTTACGACTTGTGAGTCATTATAGTTAATGGCCCACTGCCAACTTCATATGGGCCTACAGGGTCGCACACAAAATAGCCCCACACGAGTTGTGATGTCCAGATTCATTGAATCTAAGATATGTCCAGATTCAATGAATAATATAGGGTGGACATGTATATGTATATATATATATAAATTCGTATATATATATATATATAAATATAAGAGATATTAATTGTTAGATTTAATTTATAAGGATAAATTAAATATATATAAATTAATTCCGTCATCTCTTTATTAAATAAATAGGTGAATTAAATCTGTGAGACGGATTTAATTTAAACCATATTTATTTAATTGTTCTCTTATCTGATTAGGCAATATTTGATATTGAATTAATTTCAGAATTAATTTAGAATTAATTTTGAAATTAAATATTATTCATTAAACCTATAGCATCCTATATATTTGATATGAGGAGCTAGGGTTTTAAGAGAGAGAGAACCAACAGATAAGAGACGGCCTAAGAGAGGAGAGAGGACGGATTTCTAAAACCCTAGGCGGACATAGGCGCTAGCACGCCGTTCGAGGTTGAGGGCTACTCGTGTGGATACCGGTAGAGGAAGCCGACCGGAGTTGTCGACTTCGAACGACAAAGGAGGCGAGCAGAAGCATCCTGAACGGCCGAATCATCGAGTCACCAGGAAATCGAACGCCTGAAGGTAATGCTTCTTACTACCTGACTTAAACGCGATCGGTAGATCCGGGAAAGGGATTGAAAGTTTTAAAATTTTGAGTTGTTTTTCCGCTGCGCGTCGTCTTTCAATTCCCTTAATCTTCCACCAGCGATCAGCTTCGCCCTCCAGTTTATAGATAGCCATCTGAGCTTTTCTCTCAGAGGAACATTCAAGTACATTAAAAATCTTCTCTAGCCGAGTAATCCAATCCTCAGCCACTTGGACATTCAATGTCCCTGTGAAACTCGGGGGATTCTGTGCACTGAATCGTTTGATCCACTGTCTTAGTGAATCAGGATCCCCTACAGGTCGTACCTGCTCAGCTGCCGGCTCTTGAGGTTGAGCTGGTTGTGGTGCCTCGGCCACGCTTGGCCCGGCCTGTTGTAGCTGTGCTATCGCTGCTGTCACTGCGGCTGCTATGGCAGCATCGCGTTCCTGGTTTTGGCGGGCTTGGGCTGCCTGAATTTCTTGCATCACTTTCTGCTGTTCCTCTAGTCGGTCCATAACCAATTGAATCGGTTCAATAGGAGGTTCCCTTGCTGCCTCCCTTGGTTGTGTTTCTCTTCGGGTTCTCACCATTTTACTTAACTTTTTACTACAAGAGGAACAGAGGAATAAGATTATTACTTAGTTATCAAAATATTTTATACTAAGCTATGCTTCATATTTGTACATAGATAGGTTTCAGGTATAATCATCCAAAACATAGATCATCCAAGTCACATATACAGTCATCCACTCAAGACAGGGGAGAGAAAGGAAAATAAGAAGTAACAAAAAGCTCAAATTCATCTAGGATCTGATCAAAGCTTCCATAGGCGTCTTGCTTGGAACGGTCACTAATCAACTGGATCTGATCCTGCCAAACAGGGGTCCTTGGCAAAGTGTTGACTAAGGCCTGTCCCCACATCTCCTCATCTATCTCTCCCTTGTCCTGGTCAGTGACATCACTATGTAACAGTCGTACGTAGTAAAAATAGTCCATGTAAATGTACCCATACTGGTTCTGGGAGATGTCAATCTACCTCCCCAGCTTACAGAGCTCCTTAAAAATAGCCTGATAGGTGTGCAGCTCCTTTGTGACTAACCGTCGCCTCTTCTTCGGAGGCAGGTCCTTCTCTAACATCTGATCACGGCGCACTACTCTGATAGGCTGTGGCTTCGTCCCACTAGGGCCGGCTTTGTCCGGGTTAAGTTTAGGCCCCGTAGCACTCCCAGCTTCATCATCCTCTAACCTTTTACTACCGTTGGAGTCTACCATGGGAATTATATCCTCTACCTCCCAGAGAGGCTGATAATATCCAGGTGGTGGAGTCGGGTCATCAGGGTCAGAAACATGTGGGTGGTACCAGTCCGGGTACGGTTCCCCTGGCCCTCTCTGATCAACTGTACCCCCAGGAGAATCGGGCTCACAACAAGCTATATCCTGCATCAAGGTTAGTCCAATGTACACCTTTCACGACATAACACATCACACACAATCAAATATGCATTATCCTAATGCATTACCATATCGAACAGTACATCTAAAAGATAGTCCAGAACCTTTGCTCTGATACCAAAAATGTCACACCTTCATTTTGAACCCCATTATACATCATTTGGAACCATTTGGAATCATTATATGATGCTTAAAGTAGGTAAAAACCAAAATGTTAAGATTTTGATTTCGGTTACTATTCATGTAACCCCTAAAAATCAGGTCAACTTTGAAAAATCATAACTAAATGTAGAAAAATCAAAACAGAGTGGTTCCAACTCTCACATGAAGCTTATGGAATGCTCTACATAGGAAAAATATTCATAGGTATCAATTTCTCACAGATCAATACCAGTTTCCACGCAATTATGTACTGTTCATTGGGTAAATTCTGAAATTTCCAGTATTTTTGCCCAACTTTGAAAGGGCATAACTCTTTCCACAAACTTCCAAATTTAGTGATCTACCACTTGATTTAAAGCTAAAAATATGATCTATAAGTCTGCCAAATTTTCAATCCAGATTCAAACATTTGCTATTTATTTTGTATGCACCAAGTTTGGTCCTTTCTAGTCAAAAGTTATCCCCTAATTATCCTTGTTTTGGCTCTTTCTTAACTCTTTACCCATTCTTAATCATGTGGGACTTAACACATGCTTGAATATACATTTACTATACTTTCACATGTTTAAACATAAGCATACATGCTTGACTCCCATTAGGAGCTATTATCCAACAAACATTTCCAAAGTCAAAATATTACATAACAAGTTCCAACATTGACACTAGAGTACATTGATTGTTCATTAGACCTCCGGGACAACTTCCTTGCCTTTGCCGTTGCTTGAACTCCCTCCTAGGTGGTGTTAAACATAAGAGTGAGATTTCAAAGAAATCCCAGTAGCACGGAATCACAATTTATCATGCATTCCTGCAAACACTACGTGCAATGTTTTTGTGCATTTATCTTGCTTATGTGTTCATGCTTTTATGCCATGGAAAGTAAGCTATCATACACATATTCAATAGACATAATGCCAAGGCAACATACTTCAAACATTGCAATCAACATTTGCAATAAAGCTTAGTCACATCATGCACACATTGCACACATACACATTAACACATCAATGTAAGCAGGAAAGCAATCAAATGTAATTCAATGCTACCTTTTGGTACTTGTTCCTTGATTTCCTTTAAGTTCAAGATGTTTTCTTGAGTATTTGGCAAGGTACCTATCAAACCAATACCAATTCCAATCATTCAACAATTATTCAAACACATTCCACATTACTTAAACATTAAACCCTTTTTCTTTGGATTTTTGGCCTAATTGTTTTCCTTTTGATTCAAGAAACCCCCTTGGCCATTCCTACATGATTTTTCATGTAGAATTCAAATATCAAATCAAATTTTACAAAATCAAATCCCTTCCTTAAATTCTGATCAAAACAGAAACGAATTTTTTTACAAGGAAAGATGTCAAAATTTCCAACTTGATTTCTAATGCTTCCAAATTCACTTCCTCCATATAACCCTACACAAAAATGCCCAAGGAATTCAATGGAAGCATCAAAACCATCAAAATCCAACCTTAAGTCCCTGAATTCCAAAATGGACGAACACACCCCTTTTGGTTCCTAAATTTCCATATTTGATTTCAATGAATTAAAACATACTTCCATAGCATAATCCTACACAAAATCACATTTTAAATCCATTGGAACCATTCAAATTTAGTGAAACAATTCCTACCCTTGAGTTCTTGAGTTGGCCGAACTGAATACTCATAGCTCCTAGGGTAATTTCTTCCATAACCCATTCAAAACAGCACCATACATCAACAACACAAGCTCATACTCAATTTGCTATCCTTTCCTAGCACTTCTAGCATAACATAAATGAACAGCACTTCCCCCTCACTTTAAGTCACGGTTTGGCCAAGGAAAAAGCATCAAATTAAAGCCTAAACATACCTCAAGGAGTCTTGGATTAAAGCTTGATGATAAACCTTGGATTGGAGGTGATTTGAGGAGTGTTTGGAAGCCAAGAAGAAAATTGTGCAGAACCTCCCCTCTATTGTCCCATTTCTGTCCGAATTTTGAATGCCTTGTGGGGGTATTTATAGAGCTCATTTGCTGCCCAAAAACCTGCTCTTGGGCAGCTATTTCTGCCCCAAATTAAGTGCTAAGGTCGGCCAAAATGAAGAACAAATCCTAGCCACACATTCTTTGACTCACTTTCCAAGAGAGTTGATCCAATGGTTGAAAATTTGCCCAGCACACAAGCCAGCTGTTCTGATCATAATGAGCACGAATTTGGGCCTTGTTGGATGCTAACTAAATGTTAAAAACTGGTTAGGAAGTAATGGAATTAGTTAGGGTAATTTAAAAATTCATTCGGTCACATAGTACCCGATTTCTTGCCCTCTACTAGGAAAAATAGCTAAGGGCTTCAAAAATTCTATTTCTTTTCATGATAATTCCATATTTATTCCAAGAGTGTGATCTGGAAGTTTTGGGAATTTTTCAAGATCTCTAGATATTTATTTCACATTTTCTCCAAAATCGGGTCTTTACCGATAGGAATTCGGAAGTAAATTCCCCATAAATTATTTTCTGCATTTTCAATGCTTGGAAACAATTTTATAAATTCATAAATATTCCTAGGGAGTGTATCCATATTTTTCCTTGAATTTTTGGAGTCCTTAGGTAATTAAAATAATTATATCACTTTAATTCCCCTTTATTTTTCCCTACTTTCCCAAAAGTAATTAATTTTTTTGGGAATTTTCACCAAAATTTATTTTGGGCCATTCTCACTCCCAAAACATCATAGGTGACTCAAAGACCTCTAATTCCACCTTTTCTATTTTTAGGGAATTTTTGAGAACTTTTCTCAAAATTACCATTTTGCCCCTAGGGATCCGATAAAGTCAGTTTCGTCCCATTTTGGGTTTCCATGCTTTACTCATACCTTATGCTTATCAATCATATCTCATTTCTCACATTCCCATTAATTTTGGGATGTTACAAGGAATATTTCTCATTCCTAATTATCATAGTACTAGATGTGACAGAAGTCACTTTGAGGAGGGAATTATGTGGTGGCAACACGTGGCAGGCAGAGATGACATGTGACGTGGCAGCACACATGGTAGGCAAAGGTGAGGTGGCAGTGATAGGTGGCAGTCATCATCGAGGTGGTAGGGACACGTGGAGGCGGTCACCGGCAATGACGTGGCGACTAGTAGAGGTGCCACATGGCATTTTTATTCTTTTTTCAAAAATCAGGTTAGTGACGGATTAGCGATGAAATTTTTTTGTCACTAATTTGCGACAAAAATTTTTGTCAGGAATTAGCAATAGATTAGCGACAAAATGGAACAAATTTCCTCGCTAATCCATTTCCATCGCTAATTCCGTCGCTAAATAAAAATTCCGTCACTAATAGCATGTTTTTTTGTAATGCATATTGAATTCTAAATTGGTTTTCTTCCAAAAATTAACCCAAACACCACTTAAACATGTTTATTTCACTTCATATTTGAAGTTTCTACCCTTTCTTAAAGCCCAAGCATGCTGACCGAAATGACAGCATTTCCCCTTGAATTTTTAACTCAAATACCTAATCAAAACAAGCTTTAATCTTAACCATAGTAAAGCTTAGACATACCTTGATGAACCCTTGACTAAAGCTTGATGATTTCTCCTTTAATTGCACTCTCTGAGTTCATATTCCAAGCTCAAGAAAACAACTTGACAGAACCTCCCCTCTTTTGTCAATTTTCTACCTATTTTCATGTATTTAGGGGTATTTATAGGCAAAATTTCTGCTCCCTCTCCCCCTTCAATTGGCTTGTTGGAGTGCCACATAAGAGGGGCACATGGCTGCCATCAAGTGCTTGAATGCCCAGATCATGCCAAGTGTCTTGCCTAGAATAATCTAAGATATTTATATTTAATTGGGCTTTAATATTGGGCCCTGAATTTGCACGAATTTTGGGCCTTTTATGGCCCAATGTGGGTCCCACTCATGGCCTAGAATGGTTTAAAAAGATGGCCCACAAATTAGATCATAATTCAAAACCATTTTAAAA